AGGAAAAATATTCCTGATGAAATGTCTGTATAAGACAACTTGCATAAAATCAAGAACATCCATGCACGTTCATTCATTTAATATAAAGCAAATTGTCACCAAGCACAAACTTCCTTCTTAGGGGACTTAACACTTGACTTAAGAAACCCTGCAAATTGAGCCCAGCACAAATGTTTTCAATAATAATCCCTTTGGCATTAAAAAAGGATAACAGTTTTTAAGAAAAGGATACGGCTTCAAGTGTTCTGCAAAAGCCTTTATCTCATCAGCCAAGGTGTCCTACAGAGAGATCAGATACTTAAAAAGTTTCTTGTCACATTCTATGGCTTCATTTTGAAAATGCCATTCATAGGAAGCTGTTCCAAATAAACTGTCTTTATCCACCACTTGTAAATTTTACCACCTATTACTACATAAAGAAAGCTAGACGTGTATTTTTAATACAGTTCTTCAACAACCTAATGTGTTGTTCTTTCATAATTATGATGGAGGGAAAAATAAAATATCAGGGTTTCCCCAGAACAGATGGGACCTAAGACCTCTTGGATTTTACAGTCTGATGCTTTACCACTGAGCTACAAACTCACAGTACTACTGAAATTGTTGATCCCATCAGTATAATGAATGCTTGTCAAATATAACCTTATACATTTTCTAGCTCACCAAAAATTTGTCCATGGCCGTCTGAAAGAGTATTGGACCACAAAACCTCAAATCTTGGGTTCATTCCTTCTGGGGAGCCCAGATTTTTTCTTTAATTTTGACTTGTGATGAATGAAAACAGGGTTCCTTAGTTCTATTACCTGTTGCACTGTGGTCATAAGACTGATTTCCACAAGGTATGATTCTGAAATAGGATGGGATGATTGTGGATCACTGACACCCACAACCTGTGTATAGAGAGCAACAAATACAACATGTCCATAAAAATAGCTAACAGATTAACTACTGGTAGAGACACTTTTTATCACTTGTTCCCTCAAAGTCATATGAAAAAGCCAGGCTTAAGTCCTTTCTCCATGATGTTGTCATGTTTTTTGTATATAATAATGAACTATTGATTAAACTAATTCTCCTCACTGTCTGTTAAACGTTTTTATAATGCAAGCTTTGAGATTTTGAAATTAACCTTTAACTCCTAAGATCTGATTGTTTATTCTCTCCTCTAGCTGCTGCACATTTCCTTGTAAATTAGTTATGAGAATTTGGAGTTAGATCAAGGTATTTTCCCTAGCAATTTTGAGTATTCTCATAACCTGTTTGCTAGATAATTTCTGGATATTATGGGGAGAAGTTACATGTTAATCACTCCTGGGAGTTACAGTGTTTAAGTCAATGAATATGACCTGGTTGATATTATTCTTAATTCTCAAAATGTTTCTGCTTAAAATTGTTAGGACAGAAAGTAGAATTTTCCTTTTGGTCACTGCTAATGGTGAAAGGATTAACAGAGGTTGATTAAAGACGATGTGGAGAAGAGTGATCCTAAATAAAATCAAGATAACCCTTGACATCTTCTTGCTAACCAACAATTACCGTCAGTAAATGCAGAACAGATTGAAAGCATTTGTACTGTCATGTAGTTCATGCATAGCCAACAGATATCAGTAAGGCAAGCTTTCCTTTTATAATAGTCAAACTCTTCACCCTTTACACTTAAACATCAGTATGCAATTTCTCCATACTGTTCTCTATACTTTTCCTGAGGTCTGACAAGGAGAGTTTGTTTAACAATCAATAGCTTCTTTAGTTGGTGATCATTTTCTCTTTTTTGTGACCTTAATGTCTGATTTCTGGGCAACTATACCATCAAGGAGAAATTAGATGCTACTCACTCTTTGGGTTAGCAGAGGTAATTGGCTCCATTAATAACAGTGAAGTTTTCTTACATGCCAATAAGTACAATTTAGCAACCACAAACCTACAGTTTAAATGCTCATTCCCTCAATAAAAGGCAGTTACTTACTCTACAAACTTGACTGACAGTGATTCGCATATGTCCTTTGATAAAATAATATCCCTTCAAGACAAATTCACTCTCATACCTATTAAAACCGGAGAAAGAATTAAAATTTAGAGTGCAACCAAGTTTACTACTAAATTGTTGTATATTTACAATGAAAATAAATCATGAAAGAAACAATAAAATTACTCACCTAAATCCAAGTTCTTTAAGGAAAGTTGTCAGATTGTCACTTGTTGACACCTCAACACAACTGCGTAACAGGGTGCTCCTACTTTTATCACCCATTTCACTTTGGCCAACATAGCGTAACTGCCTGTCAAGAAAAAAAAAAAAAAACTCCAATAAGTGTTTAACATGTAACTTCTCCAAATAATACCAATACATATCCAGCAAACAGGTAATGAGAATACTCAAACCTATCAGGTGAAGGTTATCTTGATTTAACACCAAATTCTCGTAACTTAATCAAAAGAAAATGTTTACTAGCTTGAGGGAAGAATTAATAAACAGTTCATGAGAGTATAAGGGTTGATGGCTTTTGAATATTTAGGTTTACTTAGTAGTATACAGTGCATTTGAAGGATGTAGGGAACAGTTGAACTGCTACATTCTCCTTCCAGATTGCCTTGTATTCCCTTGTGAAAAACAAGGAGATTTTGTTTTTGCATCAAAGTAATTTATAATGTTATTCCATACAGTCCTTTACTGAAAAACCTAAATAGTACGTATAGACAATTATGTATTCTCAGTTTCCCTTTGAGTTAATATTTCAATCAATGGATTCTTGCTTCAGTGCTGTGATTTTAGTCAAAGTACTTTAAGCAAGGATAAAACACAATAAATCAACTTTACTTTCATCACTATTCAACATCTACAAAATAATGCAGTATAAGCTAGAATGAAAAGTAAATTCTTAGTGCAATGTTTTTTTTTCTCCACATATGGTAAACAAAAACAAAACAAAGCAAATGTTCAAAAGTAAATGTTCTAAGCCTCAACAGAGAGTGCCACATTTCAACCCCTCTTCAGTTTCTGGAAAACAGAAAATATACTTATCAAATTTCTTCTCTGTCACCTCTCGTTTTTCAGAAGCAATAGTGTTGTTGTCGAGAATGAGCACCACCTTTCCATCTTTTCCTGTGTGCATCTTTTACACACTTCCCTTGTCAATCCCTTCATTCCTGAGATCTCATTAATAATTCTCCTTACTATCTGACATACAATATTTATGATGTTGGTTTAGAGAATTTAGTTCTAATTGGATTAATTAGTATTGCCCTAACTAATGTTTTCTTTATTCTCTTCACATATTTGCTTGATATTGTATTGGTATTGTAAGGAGGAATTATGCATCGATCACTTAGAGGAGTCAAAGTGTTTTATATCTATACAAAGAGAGATCATTAGTGACAGATCAGTTATGAGCTAACTGCTTACCATGGTGCTTTGGAGTCATCTAGAGAGTGTCGTGCTCTCAGCGAAACACTGTTCCCTGGACCACCTTGAGAGTAAAACAGTAAAATTAACAATAGAATTTAAAACTCACACAAAAAAATAAAGTATCCATGTATTTAATAACAGGTTAATGCACTCAGCATGTGAATCATCAGGTTTAACCTGCATGAGTTCACGTATAATGAACGAGATATTTCAATACCAGCCTTGTGCAGTATTGAAAATTTCAAGTTCATTGTTTGTGAATGAGTACAAGTAAATTCCGATAATTCACAAGCAATGAGTGCAGCAACTTTTTTATTTTTCAAATTTAATACACTGCACAAAGAAACACTGCACTAAGATCACTATAAACCAGTCAGCTGAAGCCAAGGTTTAATAACAGCAATGTGTTGAATTTAAACAACTGCTATTACACCACAATAATAACATCAAGGAGGTTGTTTCGTCACAACCCAGTATGACATATGGTACGAATCAGCCAATCAGAAAATCGGAATTCGTACAGTGTAGGAAAGTTGAATAATAATACATTATCATAATACATTCTCATAAATTGGAACTTGACAATTACTTAAACCCTTTTTAACTGTCATGAACACAAAACCTTTTGACTCATTCTAAAACTCAGTGGATAATGTTCCATAAAAGTCATTCAAAAAGTAAATAATAATTCTTATAATAATGATAGTCATAACTATAACGATAGATACAATAATGATGCTAATGATGATAATGATGATAATGATGATAATGATGATGATATGATTAAGGTGAGAGCCATAATAAAACTGAGGAAGGTGTTGGGTCAACACAGGGCAAATGATAGCATTACCAAATTGCAAAAAGAAGCGTAGAAATACTCATCTAAACTCAAATCGAGACATTTTTTTTAACAGTTATCCATGAACTCATTGTATGCGTGGAACAAGGACCGAGAAAAGGTAGCTTAGCCATTTTAAGGATAAAAATACGTTTCTCCAGGAATGGGTTGCAAGAAACCGAAAAAGCGTCATTTTTCCAGGTGATGATGGTCGATGTGTAACTTAGAAGAAACGTACAATCTTTGTATTGCTCTTATCGTGTGAAGAAAATAGCCTTGTATTACCGAGTGAATATAACATTTCACGATCTGCAAAGGTCGCAAACTGTCGAGATGCACCATCACACAGTCCTCTGAGTCTATGCAAAAGAGTGCTCACGGATTCCTTCCCCACGCTTCCTTGAAGAAAGTATTCAAGTTGATTTTGCCTTCCAGCAACCGCCATGTTTTTCCTTAATACTCGCTTATACCGAGAATTCTACGATTAAATCGCGACAATATCCCGAATGTTTCCGAAAATCCTTGGTTTAAAATATCCTTCGACGTATCAACGTCTAAATTTTTCCCTTAGATTCTTCGAAGTTTACCTTTAAGAAGAAAAGGCAGTTTTAAATGTTTAAGGAAGTAGCGAGATTACAAAATTTCGCGCTGAGTTAAAGGATGATTTTCTTGTATTCCGATTGATTGGCGCGGAATCGCGCGGGACTGGAAATCGGTCCCAAGACCCCTTGCGTGACTACAAGAAATGCGAAAGGAAAGATTTGAGTCACAGAGGACGCCATCCATCGAGGAACAGACGGAACACCAAAAGACCTTTGTGGGAAACACCACCTAGTAGCGGAGCCCTACGAGGCTGTAACATCAGCAACATGACCACGACTGAAGAGCCTCAAGTCGAAGAGAAACAGTCAGTTGAGAAGAAAGTTGTTGGTGAGTTTGCCTTGCGCGTCGCGATATGTTGCATGCTAATAAAATGAAAGCGACATCTCGAACATGTGCGCCGCAATAGCGTGAATATGAATTGTTAATGGATATTGTCACGATAAGGTTTTCTGGCCACATGGCATGTCCTTATTGCATAGATTGTGTTCCGTTTACTTTTATGGTGACAGAGAGTGGTTCATCTCGTTTTACTAACCGTCTGACGTGGCTTTTTCAATCTTTTAGCCAGTAAAGTGAGCGGTACAGTGAAGTGGTTCAACGTGAAGAACGGTTATGGCTTTATCAACAGGTTAGTTCAAAGAAATTCTTTTCTTCTCTTGCTTTCATCAGGGTTTATTTTGCTTTCTAACTCTTTAAAGTCGTTCGTTAATTTTCTTTGCTGAGAATCGAATTTGAAATTCGTAGTTTGGGCGCGTTGATGGCGAGAGCAAAGCGAACTTCGTTTCGCAAGCCACGCATAGCTCATTTGCATCCTCCAATTTGTCCCACGCATCGCAGTGATCTCGTTTTGTTTTTCTTCCCCCTAGAGATGACAACAAGGAAGATATATTTGTTCATCAGGTAAGTTTCTCAATCAATTTAACTGTCTGGAGAATCAAATAAATGTCATTTCGGTGTAAATTTCAGCACCTAAGAATTGCAAGGTTGACTTTTTGTGATATTAAGATTTGAAGGCGGTTTTAAATGATTTCTCTCAGTTCCCTTTGTTTAATTCACAACCTGTAGGTGACTGTGGCCACAACGTAGCCATTTTCTTAAACTTTATCTTTGCTTTTCGTTTTCTGATCATCCGTTACCTATGTTTTTAGACTACTAGGGTTCATCTGTATATTTAACCCACTCAGGCTAATTGAATTTAAACAGTTTTAGAAATACATTCAGCGTAAATTTCTTCGTCAGTGTCATTGACCCAGAAAGAAATGAAACCTTGACATAAGGGCAGTTGAACTGGATCACTTGACTGGAAAGAGGAATTAGGTTTGATCCAAGTTAGTTCTGCTTTGATAGCATCAGTCTTCATTTACTCCTCTCCCTTCATAAAATTGGATGAATATTAGGCTTTTTGAAATTGAGGACCTCTCGGCAAAACATTTTCTTGTTTTGATCTGCCACAAAGAAGCTTGTTATATTGGCTACCAAGAAAAGTTCAACATAAATGAATCACCTGTGAAATAATGAACTGCAATTTGAAATCTGGCCCTATTGTAAAAACTATTGTGTGGTTTTGCTGTAACATTTAGTCTCCTCACTAGATTTTGGAAATGACTGGATTTACTTTGGATTGATAAAATAAAAGAAATAATTCAAGTGCCATAGTATGTGGAATCAATACAATAAATGGATACAATGTCTAACTTTTTCATATTGTACTCCCAACTTAATTGCTGTGTCATATTTGATAAGTAATACTGTACATTCAATATTCGAACTGGGCAAAAGTGTGTTTTTTAGTTCTTAATTAACCAATAAAAGCTTACCATCTCTATTCCTGATCAAGTTTGAATAATTGCACTCACCTATTAAATAAATTTTATTAAATGGACAGACTTTACATAATTGGATGTTGAATGAAACCATACTTGAATTAATCACCTGTGGGAAAATAAACCATGGTGTAGGTCAGAATAAAGACCTTTGATGGTTATAAGCAGAATGAATAACATATTCAAGTAAATCCAAAAGTTGTTTGCTCAGGAACTGGATGAATTTATATATATTACACTTTAGATCTCCCAGGTCTAAGCGTACCCTGGTGAATCCATCATGTACATGTAGTCTGACTGCACTAATTGTCTTACTTTAATCAAGTGTCAAATTGTTAAACAAAAACTAGTCTAGTCTAACTGGTTAATGAAAACCTCTAAAGTCAAATGATTAGTGGAATCTTTTTTGTGTCTGTAGCTAAATTCTAAAGTTAAAGATGACGCAAGTGAATAATGTAACATCGCTATTACAATTGACATCATAAAATGTTGAAAATCTCTGTTCTCTTTATTCTCCTCAGACTGCCATCAAGAAGAACAATCCTAAGAAGTACTTGCGCAGTGTTGGAGATGGAGAGACTGTGGAGTTTGATGTTGTATCAGGAGCGAAGGTGGGAAACGTAAGGAAAATGTATAAAAGACACAGTAAAAGATGAATTAAATATATCAATCACATAGACTGGCCAGTCACTTAAACTTGTTTCTGCTTGAATGTCCTGAATGTTATCCTGTCTGTAGGGGGATGCTAGACAGGGCTGTATCCCAGCAGAGGGGACTTTGTTCTATCTTTTGTTGGCCTGAATAAGTAAACTTGTATTGAAACTTTTGAAATATAAACTCTGGGCACCTCGAATTTCTCAGATAATGTGTGTGCCTCACAAACTAAGATGACCTCAGACTCCCTTAGTTTTGTTTCTTTGCTGGCTGATTAGGTCAATCTGTGCATGGAGTTGTCCACTACAGTATGGACAGATATGTGGAGACTGCTGGATTTGAAGTCACTTTGGGCTTTTTCCTTTTTTTTCCTTTTCCTCTGCTTTAACTGTGTCTAACTTCAGCATCGATAGCCCCTTCCCTCAGGCAGCCTTTAGGCCTCTATCAATTCTTCTAGAAGGACAGCTTTGCTAGGCGCTCTCAAGAAGCAAATGCAATAAATCAATTTTATGGTTCACACGAAAAATTGATTAGTGCAACAATGATATTTTTAATCGCAATTTGACTGAAACAAATTTCACACCTGAATGTTATTTTTAAATCTATTCTTGCTTCTTTAGGAACCTTTATCAGATTTCAACAATGAATGCCTTGCACTCAAAACTGAAAAATGATAATGTTTGGCCTTTTTTGTCGTTTTTTTTCCTTTTCCAAATATTTTGTGCATTGTTTTTCTATCATTTACTAGGGTCTCGAAGCAGCCAACGTAACAGGACCAGATGGGAGCCCTGTGCAAGGAAGCAAATATGCGCGTGAGTAGTGCTTACTGAGTCCTACTGTCAACCCTTCTCTCTTAAAATCCATTTTTTTTCTGCTCTCTTCAGATATTCAGTTGTGAATTTATTTTTTTTTTCCTGGAGAGATGGCGAAAGTTTTCCTACAGCTGTATTTGGTTCAGGCTTATCAAAGTTTTCAACTAAAAAGTAATAAAAAGAATGAAAATAGTACCGATAATGATGGCAATAACATTTAATATTAGTTGCAATAATAACAATAATAGTAATTAAAAAAGAGAACAAAAAAACAACAAAAATTGTAAAACGTGTCCATTTTCTCCCTAGCGGACCGCCGAAGGAACTACTACCGCAACTATCGAGATTACCGTCGTGGCAGACGCCGCCCCCGTGGCAGGCCTAATTCCGCTACAAACGGAGAGGTTAAACCTGAGGAGGAAGGCAAGGAGGCAGGGGACTCGGGTGATCAGCAGGAACGGAACGACAACGATGAAAGACCACGCCGGGGCAGGCGCTACTACGGCGGGCCACCCCCCTGGGCGAGACGTCGGCGGCCCCGTCCTCCTCCACGGGATAACGAATCAGGTGATCAGTCCGAGGAGAAAGGAGAAGAGCCGAGAGAGGAGTCGGATGATAAGGAGAAGAGACGACCCCGTCGTAGACGACGTCCCAGATACAGGTAAGCGTTGTTGCTGTTCTTTCTCCCTTGTTTCTTTTCCCTTTCTTTTTTTTTTTTCTCTTTTTTTTTTTTTTTTGGCGTAGGTTTTCCCTCCTTTTTTCGATCTATAGGATGTTTAATCTTTTGGTTGTGAGCTAACGGTTTGTGTTGAAATTTTTTCTCCAGGCGCAGGTCTGATGAGGAACGCCCTGAAGGCGATGAACAAGAAGAACGAGATGGTGATCATGAAGGAGGAGAAGACGGAGAAGAGGTAATCAAAAGTTGCTTTCCTCTAATAGTAGTTTTGTGATGACGGAACATTAGGTTCAACGCCGTCTGGCCAAATCCCCCCGCAAAGCGTTGTTAAGCGTATTGGAACATTCACGTGGAGACTGCGCCATATAAATGTATGAATGGTGTTATCATTATTATTAGGTTTTCGGTGGCGGAACAAACCGAAACAATGACCACCTGTCAAATTAGTGGCCGGAGCGTGGTTAGCTCAATTAGGGGAATGCTTGACTGTTGTGAGTGAGTGGGTGAAGCTTAATACAAGGCAAACACGGAAGGGCTTATAATGTTAAGGGAGGATATGCCGCTATCTGAGTTTTTGTAGAGAAAGTTGACGTTCTCTGCTAAACGTGAAACTACTTACATGTGTGGGTTTTTCGGTAAATGCTGTTTAAGCGAGGTCTCATCTTGGTCGTGCCTTGGAAAAACGGTGTGGCGTAAGAACTTATTATGGCGAAAAAAAGAAAAGACAGTGAAACAAACCGAGACGTGTCGTTTTCTCGTGAATTAATCAAGACTATGCTTCTATGACAGAAACTTGCGGGTTCACTACATTGTTTCCGATCCAAGGGAAATGGCTTTCACTTGTATAAATTGAATGATTAATTGTTGTTTTTTTTTCCTTTTGTTTACCCTGCAGCGTCCGGCACAGAATCGTCGCCGTCGTCGTCCTTACCGCAGATCTTACAGGCGCCCTCGTAGAGAGGTAAAAGTGAAGTCGCGGAAAGTCAATAATTATTTTAGTCTTGATCCTTTGATTGTGGGGTCATGGTTAGATGAACTGGCGCATTATGTAGAGGTGTTCTCCAGACTGTACAATTGTTAGATTTTGGTGCCTCAGAAAAAGGCCTTGTCAGGGTCAAATTGTACCGAAGTCGTTATTTGGTCGCCAGAAATGATATTTACTTGTATTTTTCTAATAAAGCACCGAGGATTTGAATCGACAGTATTGTATGTAAATTCTTACAACTCACTAGACCTTGAACACTAACTAATAGACACTTGAAATCCTTGCTGGAAATTTATTCGCCAAAACGTTAACTAATTGCCTTAGCTTCCAAAACGAGCTCAGCTTGGAGCGCTTCCCATGCAGTCAGGTTAACTTAAGTGGTAGTGGTACTGCTTGTTTTTGTTCCGTTACTTTTTTTTAAGGAGGTTGCCTTGCTCTTATTCAGATTGTGCCTTTTTTCTAACAGGACGGAGAGAGGGGAAAGGAAAACAGCGAATCCAAGCCCGAGAATGAAGAGGCTGTGAAAGCCGACGGCAACGCCGAATAATTAAGACATGCAGCGCGGAGATTAGGCAACTATGAGCCTCCACTTAATTCAATTAATTAGCTTTGATTCTCTCGTTTATATTAGATCAGGGAAAAGTTCAATCAATTTTTTTTCTTTAATGGTCATCATTTATTTGTTACAGTAGCTGAACTCTCATATGAGCACGTTTTTGTACCGTCCTAGTCATGTCTTTATGGTTAAAACTGTTGCCCATTTTGACGAGCTTTGGTTTTTCTGTTCCGTTTAGATTAGTTACAAGTGAGGTCATAGTTGTTGTGTTAAGTCAACCTTTGTATCTTTAATCCATCTTGCAGCGGAATTCAGTTTGTGTGAACGATCGATTTTTTGCCATCATTTTTTGCCGTCGGAATTAATAAAAACCGTCCGTGAAAAATCACCTATGGCTCTTGTGTTGTTTGTAAACTAAGGGTCTTTGTTTTTTGGCCACCCGCACTATATTTCACCTGTCCATCAAAGTCAAACCTTAATTGTTGAGACCCATAAGGTATCAGAACTTATGAAAATTTATATGATTTGAACACTAGACGAGAAACTTAAAAATAAAACTTAAATAGAAGCAGACATCCTCGCTGGCTATAATATCCACTTAAAGGTTAAGGAAATCTCGGGAAAAAAGATTGTTCAATCTCAAAATGACGGGTCAAATTGGATTGTTCCGGACATAGTAAATAACCATAGATTGCGACGCAGCCTAAGCTTCAGGAAATAAGCGTACGTGTTTGCCTAATTCTGGCTCAGTTTAACAGAAAAATACCAAAGAGCAAACAAATGTATAATCAACAAGGGTGGAAAGTGATGGAGAAGGTTAGAACGGATTGCAAGTAAGGAAGTGCAAACTTAAAATTAGGCACGACTTTCGTAAGCACCGCAAACCACTTTTGGAACCGTTTGAAGCGTGACCGAGCTAAGCGA